AAAAGACCCTGAAACAAAAAAAGTAACAAAGTATATACACATGTATATATACACAGACACAGACACACACAGACACACACACAGACACACACACACCCTGACAAAGGGGAAATACAAAGGACTAACTAGGGTTTGACTTAAAATCATATAACATACAAGTACACTTGTTAGAGTGCCGTACTGTGATGATGTTCTCTTTTCTGCCTTCAACACAAAATAATGGTGAAATTTCCACCCAGTGAATCTTTCACTAGAGGTCATAATAATGAACTGGCAGCTGTAAGATTATGGTTTCACTGGAGAACAGAATGGTGTTTTAAAATTGTAATCCTGCTCATAATCCCCATTTTATTAAAAGTTGCTGTAATCTGATTATGTGTTTTTTCTGTAACTGTTACTGATGTGATGCAGGGTATACACAGGTATATGGAGTGTACCCACTTCTAAATCCCCTCTGATGTGCACCATTCAGTAGTGTTCAGTGAGCTGATTTTTTTCTAGGAAGGCGTGACATAGTTGTTCAATTTGAGTGGATGGAGTAAGGATTGAGGAAATCTCAACTGTCTGTGGGCCGGCATTGATGCCAAATCTGCTCCTTACTCCTTGAATGTGTGTAAGACATTTTTTAACGTTCTTGCTGCAGCACTTACAGCTGCCAAATGGCTTGTGAATATTCAGATTTTACCAGCCACTCAATAGATTCTTGGGGGCTGGTGAGTGAAGCGAATACCATCTCCCTTAAAACACCTCTGTAAATATGAAACCTTTGTGGGTCTGAGCTAAGTCGCACTAGCATTATATGAGCTTGTGAAGATAAACCTACCAGAATATTTTGAAATCTTGTTCATGATTTATCAATTTTCATCTCTGCTAAAGTAGAAATACTGGTTTGACTTGAATAACAGTGGAGTGATTTAAGATTACCTGTGTTAAAACTCTTTAAGTAAAGTGCTAAAGTTGCTCTTATGAGAAGTATCTTGAGTAACAACCACTGAAATACATATGGTTACTAATCCTGACTGACTCTAAGCATTTCAGAATTAAAATCTCTTCAAATATATTTCAGATTCTCTTACTCTCTCCCCAACAGCCACTTATTTTAGTGTTTGGGTCTGTGTTCAGTGTGTTGTAACTGCTGCACTGAACACTCGTCATGTGCATTATAATTTGGGGAAATGTTCAGTGGAATTCATCCCCATACTATACGCTGCGTATAGTTGCTTAACACTGCTGGCTAATTGTTGAGTGCAGCTGAGGTTGAGGCTGAGGGAGTTGAGACAGAGGCAGAAAGACAGGGGGAAAAGATGCATTCTGGGTTAAAATCAGAAGCATGCAAACTGCTGAATCATCATGACCCAAATATCCAGCAACCATTTCTTTTACTCTTAATCACATGCGTTTCCCTGCACAGGAAACCCATTTTAGCTTAAACTAGCCACTACATGCCAACCCGAACCACTGTTGCCATATAACATCACCTAACCCTAACCCCTACATCTGGCTCATGTACAGACACTTTTTGGGACACCACCACCTACAAACAGCCCACATTCACTCAAACACACAACCAAGACACTAAGGTTTATTTTAAAGACACAGACACACATGCACTATTACACAAAAACAGTCTACACCCGATACACACTTTTAAAGGATTCATAAAATCACAGCTACTCAGATTCAACAGAAAGAGAAACTAAACAACAGATTCCCCCACCGTTTCAATATAGGCAATTACTAAATACACCAGGGGCCCGTTTCAGAAAGTGTTTTTTCGGTTTCACAAAGCCAGTTCAGCTTAACTCTGAGTCAGTTACTCTGGCAACATTCTCCGTGAACCTAACCTGCTCGCTGGCAGGTTTTCTTCAACGTAACCTGAGGTTTTCCTGCTCTTAATTTGAAGCCTTGCAGACTGAAGGCAGTGGCAGACATGGGGCGTTCCTTTTCCATGAAGAGCCAGTTGATGTCGAGGCGCAGATACTCCGCAGAAATCTCCGTCAGGAGAGGATTATTAGACCCCGATTGGATGTTTTATCATTCCCTGACGAGTACCTGTTTGAGCGTTTCCGTTTCTCTGCATCATCAATAATTTATCTAAACAATATTCTCAGCCCTCACATCGTTCACATGACACATCGTAGACACACTCTCAGTCTTTTTGCCAACGGCAGTTTTTTGTATAACATCGGTGATGCAGAGCATGTGTCCAAGGCAATTGTCTGTCGGGCTGTCCGAAATGTGACACTTGCACTGAAACGGCTACTATACACGTTTGTAGTGTTCCCAAGTCACAGACCCACCAGACTTCTCAAAGAAGAGTTCCACAGAATTGGTCATCTCACATCACTCATCTCACTCTGCACAGAGTGCCAGATTTGCCCGTGGTGAGTTCATTATAGTGGCATGTGTGGTTCTCCACAACATTGCCACTATTAGAGGAGAACAATGTCCTACTCTTTCCCCCAATGATCCATTTTACAATAGTGTGCAGGTCCCA